CCAGACAGGCTTTTACAGTAATACGCGAGCGAGAATCAATACCGGTACACTAGGACGTGTCCCCTCGGATGTGATAAGACAAGGCATGATACCACATGAACGCATTCACAGCACAACTGCTCCTTTGTCGAAGACACGCAATCAAGATCGGAAAAAGGCTAGGGCAGATAGTGTGGCACGACACTTAGGAAAGCAGTAACTGTATAAGGGAATAAAGAGTGGTTGGTCCGTTCGCTTCCTCCACTCGCTTTTCCTCTGCGTTAGCCTGCCAGCGTATCTGATCTTCTTTCACGTTTTTCCATCCCTGTATGTGGCTGATTGCTGTGGTCAGTGTCACTGTATGATCTTTTGTGCATTCCCGTTTAACAGCGTATCGGCAATTGTCGACCGCGTATCAGGTCTTCCAGCTAGGTAGGCAAAGGACGCGCTCACAGTCTTCCCATAGGAATCGTGTTCGCCAAAAGAAACTATACAATATACCTGTCTCATATAGTGACTGCTACGAATTTACGATCTGTGCGCAATCTTTTTGTTTTTGCTGGACATGTACACGCCTATCTCGTGTACAGTTGCGACTGATGCAACAGACAAGGCCGAGATTCGACTAGAGTTTTATCGGCCGAAAAAATTCCCCGAGAAGAATGGAAGATAGCGTAACTAACTAAAGGGCAAATTGATGCCAACACCAACTGAGATTGGAAAGAGCGTATACGCGGAAAAATATATGAATAATATATACGTTGCTTTTGTAGGAATGTGATTTGTTTCACGCACATTTTTCCATAAGTGTTTTCATCGTTGCCCCAGATTATTTTACCGTTACACTGTGCGTATGAAGCATATGTTGGAAAAGGCCACAAAAAGGGACCGCAGTAACCAGAAGCATGAAGGCCAAATACATTGTGTATATCAGGTAAGTTTGCTTACTAATTCCCAGGAACAATGGGAAGGTCCTATTACGGGGACCAACATAGGTCTGTCAACTGTTCCGTTGTCTGCGCCGGCCTCTTTCCGTCTCCAGGAAGCGTGGAAGGCGGGTATTTCGCTCTGCGCTCTCATCGTCCACGTTCCAGTTTTCCACGTCTCACCTTCGTGCTTACTCGTTCTCCGTAGCTCGCTAGGCGATCGGTGAGCGACAGCAGCTGCGACTGACTGTAGCTATGTGTACGTTCATTTGTGACGCAACATATACGCGTCGTTTAGCTCGTAGCAATGCCGCTGCAGACGGTTCTTTTGCGTTGATGGCCACAAATGCTACGATTACGACGGTTTTAGGAGCGTTAATAGTGGTGTTGTTGTCGCTTCTGGCTGGGAGCCTTTGAGAAGCAGTTGATTTTTTGTTTTCTCAATGGTGTTGTAATGGCAATACGTACTAGTACACCGCAGTACCCGCGCGATGTATCGCCGCTAGATGCTCAGTATAATGGTCCCATAATTCTATTCTCTCTCTAGGGAATCTCTAGGGAACAGGGAAATCTCTATTCTTTGTGTGCGAAGACCTCGTTACCCTCTTCGAGGTACAAGGTGCAATAATTCACGCAATATGATGGAAACACATGTGAAGAATATATACATTTATGCATATCGAGGCATTATATAAGGTATTCGACTCGCACGCGTACTTAAGAGTTCGTAAGAATGAAGCAGATAGAAATTAATTGCTACATAAAGTGAGTGGGCGTTCGGCACTTGTATGGTTTACTAAATTCGCGCAAATCAGGATAATTAGAGCATCATATATGAAATACTGTGCTCCGCCCCATGTAAGATATTCAGTATTGAATAATATATGGCGAACGATCTAGGCCTGCTCGATCATATGGGTGAGAATACTTGCAAAGACATTGTTAACTGTGTATATAAATATATTCTCTAGTTCGATCGAGTTTTACTAAATTACTTCAGGTCATACTTTATTATATCTTCAAGAAGCCACTGTTGGGCGATGCCGGAACTTGACCCATCTGCCGGTAAGTTCGGTGTTGCGAAACGTGCGAACCGGGAAAGGATGGTAACGACGATGTTAACCCATAAGAAATTGTTCAGAGGATAGGAGTGGATATTGACACTGTTTTACAAAGAAGGATTCTCCCTACCGGCCCGATTTGGAATAAACTATAAATAAAATGTAAATTTTAGTTTAGTCGCGGCCAGTCACCTAAAGCCATGATGCAGTAGTAACACATGTATTTATTGAGATCACAACAATTACGGAATACCAGGAAGATATATATGAAGTATCTTGAAACTGAATTCGAAATGGTTATAGATTAACCAGCTACTAGGAGATGCTGTTATAAAGACTACATGATGTGAAGATTTCGGTGAAAATCCTATTTTTTTTAATATATCATCTACAATAAACTTGCAACCCTAGTGGTCCTACGCATAAGCGAGTTTTATGGTATTTTTGCAGCAAAATGAACGTGGTTATCGTTGGGCATGGACGGTAAAATCCAAAGTGTGCCTATTCCCTTTAAGATCGCATCTGTAATCATTAGATGGCCAGGACGCATTCAGAATGTTTGCCCACTTTCCTCGGCATGTACAACTAGTACAGGCAACTACTATTGAATTGGAAGAAAAGCGATCCCCAATATGCCTTAGTCTAGCGGTTAGATCTGCACCCATCACGATTCTGCCCCCTTGACGTCATGTGGGTTCGTTAGGACAAGCTGGTGGAACTTCTCCCGTGCACAAAGTGCAAATGCTATTGGCAACCGTGGTCGTAACTAGGGTTAATTTAGTAAATTAGATCACGTCTTAGGCGTTGATTGCACAAATATTCTCATAGAAGATCTGTAAAAGGTTTCGTGCGGGGCGCCCATCGGGTGGTGAGTGCGCAGACGTGTTTCATCCAGTTATAGTTTATAATAATATCTCAGTTCTTCACAACTACAAATTATTGCTGAATTAATAACTTGATTTAGCCGAGAAAAAACACAATGATCGAGCACTCTCCTTTGCTTCGTCGTTCTCCAAACAAATAAAGTTTTAAACTCATCTAGTAGAGTCATTTTAAGGTCGGGTGGACAGCCATGCAAAGTTCTGATTAGCAATAATGGCGAACAGCTCCTGGTCTACGAACATAAGGTAAATATACGCACTATGGCAACGGTACCACCATCACAGGATTACTCCGGGCTCTTTTCCGCAGTTCTGAGCTCCTGGGGCAGGTTGTGCATTCATGAAACGTGACGAACCTTATCATTAGAGAAACTGTATTAATAGGACTCAGTGACTTTGAAAAGGGCCAATGCAATATCTCCCAAAGGAAGCTGAAACGAAACTATAGTCAACGCTATCGGACGGGCGTTGCTCCGAAAGCGTCCAAGAGGCGTTCACCCCATTTCCAGATTAATACGAAGGCTGATTTAAACAGAGCTAAATAGTGTCACCAGAGCGTCTCCGTAGGTGAGATTTGCAACTAAGCTTATTCTATTGCTTTCCGGCTTGGCTGCCTAATTTCTTCTGAAACATCTGATCATTTATTGGGTTGCCTATGGGCGTATTCCTCCTGCACGAATATCCTACGAGGTAACGTAATTTACGGCAAACGATGTGAATAGTTCATTAGCAGCGAAGCTATTTGTTGCACGCATATGAAACGCGGTTCGATCTACTTAAACATTTTGCGGATGAGTCTGTAATGCGTTACCTATGCAGAAGAGGAAATCACCAGGAATAATTATATATCCAGGTAGAGTATGACCGTAAAAAGTTCATTTAAAATAGAGGCTTGCTAGCCACCAAGAGCATCATTCAGATGCTTAAAAGTGTGCCCTGACTAATTTTAATATTGCATCAAAGTTTAATATATGTATATATATATATATATATATTCCTCGATACGAATGCAAGTTTAATTTCTTCGAAACCCCCATGGAAAAATTTTCCCCACAGAAAACTACATCCTTACTTTTTGTTATATTGCATTAAATTGTCATTAATTATTTCCGAATCTCTGTGAGGTAAAGGCGGCAATTTATACAGGTACTTTTGAAAATTGTTTAATGAAAAGCGGCACCGTTTTTCATGCGTATCTGTTGCTATTTTTTTGATATCTCATATTATCCACATTGCTATTCAATATTTAATTTCGACACATATCGGATAAGGGAATAAATTGATAACACCTCATTAGATCCCTTATTGCGTATGCCCATAATTTATGTAGTTGTGACATTAGTTAAAATTAATTCGGTTCATCGTATTGGACGCTAGCTTATTTAAATGTTAAACCTTAGTAGAAAATTTGAAATTTTTCAAAAAAAACAAGCGCGCATTCGTGTGAAAACTCGACCTAAATATATAAAATCACTCTAGCCATCCATTTTTTACACATTATATAATGTGTTTTATAATAATAATAATAAATGCTGTTTATTAGCAAAAAAAAAAAAATAATTCGATTTTATTTTTGGGTAAGCAACAATTTTTTCTAGGGGATTCGAAACTTCATAATTACCAATGTCATAGATAGCGATTTTTTTGGCTTGTCTGTTCATCTTAATGAAGGAGGCAAAAAGTGTTCGTCATACATAAAGTTTTTCTCTATAAAAATATCAAAGCAGACATGTATATATTTACTTAGAAATCTATGCAGCTTCTAACTTTACGTGCGGACCAACATCACTGTCAAATGATTTTTCAAGTTGCAAAGTGTTTAGCGTGACGCTAACCAGCCTACGTTATGCCACACGCTTGAGCGGTTATACAACAATGCGCCAGAAGTTACCTTTACGAACCTGAAAATTTTGCATACAATAAATAAATAAAAAATAAATTTGAATAAATGCATACAATAAACACCTACTATTTCAAGGTTACGCTATGCAGTTGTTATTGTAGTACTTGAAACAATGGTTCTTTTCCAAGGTCAGTTAAACCGCACTAAGAGACGCTCAAACCTAATATCTGAGGATGTCACCACTGGTTTTTGGCTTTAATTTTTTCAATTAAGTTCTTTGCAAGTTCCCACAAACACAACCGTTCCATACCTGATAGTGACGCCTATATAATGACGCTTCCCTTCATTGTCACTAGTTTTCTATTATCAGTTACTCAGTATCATTCATCTGTGAATACTGCTAACCTTTCACGAGCGTCATGGTCTTTCGATGTTGCTCATTGCGTACACAATTACATGTCTGCACTGTTTCTATTGGCTCCTTCGAGACACTCTGTCCGATGTTCTGTCGTGTCGATGTTTACCTACACAGTTGTTACACAGTTTGATTCTTCTCGTGCTTTTGTACAATGATTATTTGCTCCGGTGGATTATACTTTCGGTGCTTCTGGTTACCTTCAGCATATTCGTTCGCCACCAACAAGTGTCAACCTTGCCTTTATACAAACAATCGTAGAACTGTCACAGCATACACTTCCCATCGTTGCCGAAGCGACGTCGAAAATATGGCTCAAATAAGATCACCAACGTGCTGTGACGAATGAACTTGCGCTAGCTCTTTAACAGCCTTTTATACCGACAAGCGCATGCTTGCTTAGGCTCTGAGCAGCAGGAAGCTCGTCACTGTCCAACCACCGGGACCCTCGAAAACACTAAAGCGCCCTCCTCCGGCTGTCTCGCGCACTCACTAGCCAAGCTCTGGCCTAGGTGGCTCGCTCTAGGACCTGGCCCGTAGCCATAAGCCTTTAGCTACTACTTCATACGCGACTGCGGTGGCCTCGCAGCTTCCGCCATGCCTCGGATTCTAGCTTGAAGCGTTTGAGCGTTTTCTGTCCCGGAGAATGCAGTGCCTCGGCGGTAGCAAAAGCCAGTCAAGCACACGGGCCCCAGTCTCCCATTGTGGTTGCCCATGCTATGCCTCCCCTTCGTTCCCACCCCGCACCCTAGAAACTCTCTCAAGGCAAACCTGTTGCTACAGACACCACGGACCGCACAAAGAGTGGGACTCTATGCGACTGCTGCTGGCGAAAGCGGAAGGCTTGGGGAAGGGAGTAACGCCAGCAATAGTAGCAAATGTAGTCGTCGTATGACTGGATGGCTATCGACTGGTGTACCTCAGTGGGTGTGAACCGTCCTTTCTAGTTAGCTTTTCTTAATGTCGATCCTGCATTGCATAGCCTAGACGGACTGGTTTCGCTCGCAATTTAATGAGGAGTCGTGGGTGGCTTCGGGGATGGAGAACTCGACTAGGCTGATCTGACTAAGCTTGTACGGCTTGTCTCTCTGGGGTTATCTCGTTCGCTCTTTTCTGTCTTGCTTCGTCTTGGCCTCCTCCACAGAGTGCCGTGTTAGCTTGCTCTTATGATCCTATCAACTGCCGTTATAGTTGCGGCTCAGGCTTCTGGCCTCTGGTTTTTGGATCGTCAGGCCTCCAAGTAGAAAACTATAGGGGGGTTCCAGCGGAAGTAACTACGAGCCCCCTCTTTTGCACCAATAATGGGAACTGAAGTGCGAAGGCTTTTCGTTTTCCACCCTAAAACAGATACCCCAGGTCCTAAAATGCATCTGGTTATGCCTGTAAGTGCATGCTACCTACGGCAGTTATTGGAACAGCTGTCAGGGTTTGAGGTACAAGTGATCGTAACAGGGTCATGTGGGGCACGCGAAAGAGACTTTTGTGAAAAGCACAGAGGTCGAGAAAGTTACGCCACTCGAAAAAACTAAGTGAATAAAGTTTCTCGCTATATAGCTATCGCAGTCGGATACAAATTAAAAAATCATTGCGATGTGGCACATAGATGGCGGCTCTCTAATTCAGATGATACCGTTATTAGAGGGAACTTATATATATATATATATATATATTGATTGCATTGGTTTATTTAGTTCCTTGCGGATTCTCAATGAAAGGGCTTACGATTCGAAGTTCCAGACACTAGATCTACGCCATTGTTTCACCGTACAGAAAAGTACATAAGACATCTGGCCCCGACTATACTATCTTCGAGTGTTATGCCGCCTTAGGTGTTTTTTTTTTTATTCAACGCGTCAAAGTTATATGAAATCCGGAAAATATATCTTCACAAATACCATTCATTTGTTAACAACTTCACATATGGCAATATCTGTTTAAGAGGTACAGCTTCTGATTTGCGTATCAGAGGTGTTAAAGAACTCGCCTTGGACTCGATTGGTCTGTCTCGACGAAACAAAACAGCGGATAAGTAAGCAATGGCAAAGGGTTGTTTTTCGCTAAAAATTTGTATTCTAGCTAGAGAAAATAAGTATCTGTAATATAGGGACGGCTGATCTAGGAGCAAACTCAACCGCTTTGAAGCTTGTGATGACAATGGATTTATTATATAGTCTATTAAATAGTGACAGAGACAGGTTTTATGATTGGATAATATACTGGTCGTTTTTCTATGTGTTGTTGAATATCTTATGTGAGTGAAATGTTTTCTTAGAAATCAACGTGATAATACCCTGCATATATATACATTTTGTTACTACAGTTAGATTTGGCATTTTGAAAAACTTATGAATTCTATTGATCTCATTGATTATCGTTTCTAAATTATTATTGCTTATATTATATACTAAAATTATACATTCAACAAAGATTCTAAGATAATCTATTATAGAAGTGATTGCTTTGATCTGATAAGGCGTGTTTTTTTTTTTTGTTATACAGTAGCCTTAGAGGGACTATTTGCGTCACCTACAAGCAGTTCGTTTAACTACTCCGTTCTAATATCCCCTAATAAGTCGAAGCTAACTGCCGGCTTACCATTAGAAATCATCTGTTGTACAGAACAATGGGGTTCACTGGGTCTCACTGATGGGGTCAACTGATGTATATACAGTACATTATATGTGGTGAAATGTTATTAAGCTGAATTTAAAAAATGGCTAGATTTCTTCCGCAGAAAAGCCCCTTGAATATGTGGGGATGTTTCTCGGTGCTCGAGTAGTTGAAAGTTATTTACTGGCTCAAACGTTTAAATTGCCTATCATTTTGCAAGTTGGTCGTGGTGTATTACGGTTTCCACTGATTTCTAGCCAGTAATTTTTCAGAATGTTAGAGAGCTCCTCGGAGCGCAATACCCCTTACTCGATAGCATAAGCGGAGCAATCATTTGAACGTCCTATTTGTTTTGATAAGATCTTCGTGAGAGGCCCGCATTTTTCCTTCTTGAAATTGTAAAAAATATTTTCTGTTGAAATAATCCCTTTTCTCTAAAGAACGGGTCTCCATGTACATACAATTCATTCAACTTGCCTTTCAGCAGAAGCACGCTATATGTGTCATTGACACATACATCCAACTTATGTTTTTTCATAACTTCGTAATAAAAACACCCGACGTAAAATTATTGCGCTCGTTTCACATCTGTCTTGTAAACTTATTATATTTTGCACTATCTGATGTTTCAATGAGTTGGTTCTGGTACATCTGCCGTACCACCGTGCGTACCTTGATTTTGCTGTAAGAGACCTTTGTATAAGTTTGTATTCGGCCTTTCAGTAATTAAATGTATAAAAAACATGCTGATCATTTACTACTTAATACCCCGAATCCGCCGAAATTTTGATCCGCCAGGTCTCTAATAACGTGTACAATTGCATATGTGTACTTGGCTCATCCCCAAATCAGACTAAGTACATTTGGTTTGGAAATGATCACAGCGTTATTAGTACATCATTCTTAATAATTCTTAAATAATTAATTAAGAATTAATAAAATAAGGAAGTTGTAATCAATCTTATTGCTCGACGCTCCACAGAATTTAAAAACTTTAGTTTTCAAGTTCCAGCATCCATATTCCCATCTACAGGCTCATCAGGTTAAATTTTATCATTGACTCTATGAAACGTGTTCGAAAACTCAAATAGATCCAGGCGAAAGACCCATATTTTACAATCTGACCAACCGTGTTGATGTGAACTTCGTTCTATTATTTTAATTTAGAAGCCTTCTTGAATCTAACAGCGTGATTTGCTGGAAACTATCTAAATATATTGCAAAATACAGTCAATCGACCCTCAAGCAGTTTGGCCTTAATTAGCTATCTTGGCCTGTGCGCCCTTTGTAGATTCTGGGATTTCTATTGATATTTGGAAATTTTTTGACACAGTGTCGTCCCCGTACAATCTGTGAAACATCGGCGGAAAAAATGTTTGCTATTTCGTTTACAAACCTTTATACCAAAATAAGTAGATACCAATTTGAGGTTGCACGTTTAGGTAGCTTTTTTTTTTATCGGACCTTACCTAATAGAAAGAAAAGGTGTCACTCTTATTTGCATAGCGCGTCTGATTAGTTCAGGCCTTCGCATGGCGACCTGTGAAACTCACTCTATAGATAGGCCTACTGCTGTTGCTGTTCGAGATTTCCGAGTTGCTTCTCGTTAGTGTATAATTATTTAAGAGGACATAATGTTGTTCCATACAACAACTCTCGCTTAAGCAGATAGTCATAAAACGAGAAATACGGTTGGTATCTGATTTAAGGCTCAAAAAATCCGACAGCTAACATTTTGTTCTACGTTGGTTACGGTTTCTGTTACGGTTCCACGTTGGTAAACTCGCCCCTAACTGTATATTAAACCTAGTATCTCTATCGACAGATAGAGGTGATACGTTTTAAGTGTTTGCTCTTAATAATAAATACCTATTACACGCAAAGCTGGCTTCAATCGGCATATCTCCTACATACTCCTTCGTTTTATACCTCCGGAGAAGGTAAAGGATATAGCTAGTAGATGCGGTATTTCGGGCAAATAATGATCGATAATTATGTTGATCTGTCGAAATCATACAGGGCACAGTTTATTTGTGAGGCCTATTATCAGGTACGTAGGACCAATAGGATCATCTCTGGGGTATGATCACAGAATGATCTAGTTAAATGATGCTTAGGCAGTGCAAACATTGACTGGTGCAAGAGCTAGTTTCCGACCTTAATAATTCAAGTAATTGGGCATCATATACAATCGTGTAACGTGTTTATGTTACCAAGTGTCTGTTCCCGTAGAAACTCTAGTATGCACGTGATAAAATGTAAATATTCCAGTTAATAGAACTGAAAGGACCAGAATCTTAGAATTGTGTCGCATATGTTACACGGGTTCAGTTTATGACAGGTCTCAAACCTAAGCCTAACTGTTTGTGCTTTTCAATCGTGAATTCATTGTTAGAGGGGCGCATTTTTAATTAATATGCATTAGACCGACACTGTGCTAGACCCATATAATAACTTGTCCCGTACTGTCGCGTGCTTTGGAAACTCCTAATCGGGATTAACCCCTAAAAGGGGTTCGGACAGGTGCCATTTACCATTAAGTCTTTGACGGAATTTCGCAATTAGCAGCAGTGCGCTTAGCAGGAGCTCAGTCGCAAGACTTATACATATTCCGTTAATCTCAAGAGCCGTAACAATATAAATGTCATTGTCTAATATTTTACTGTGTATATACATTCTGCGGATACACTTAAATGCGCCTGAGCGCCCTTAATAGCTTTGGGCTCCCTTAGCTGTGTCCTTACGAGAGGATGCCTAAGTAGCCAGTCATTGTTTCATCAGATGGACATTATACAAACAACTATTTGTTTGGTATATATCCAGATGTGTATATACATATAGATATTGGAAGACATTTCGATTGTATTCCAGCCCGGTCTTCGAAAACTCGAATAGATAGGAATGCGAGTCGCGCACGGTATTACAATCCCAGTTTTACCTTACCTAGCCTTATAGTCAAATGTGTAATAACAGGCTGACGTCCGACGACTGAAGTTAACTGAGCAGAACTGACAAAGTTGTTGTATTGTTTAAGAAGCGCGAAATTATCATAACGTTTATATAGGTACACGTGGAGAGTACTCAGCAGCTGGAACAATATTCATTGGCTGTTTAATTCTGTGCGCACGTATTATTCTTATTGATAATGTTTATACGAAAAGCCTACAATTCTACGTAAAGCATCGAGAAAAAGCTTCATTTTTCGTTAAGTCTTCGTTCTACTGCTCAATTAGGCTTCGCTGCATTCTACTTGCGGAAAACATCAACAGTAACCCAGGTCGCTATGGGTTAGAAATGGGATACTCGACCTGCTTTTGTTGTCAAGTGTGTCATCTCAAGAAACAATAACTCCTGTGTACATCTCCTATAGCCATTATTGGAAGAAAGTTGTCTCTTCAGGCTGTTACTAATATCGAGTTTCCGACCTGAATATTATTGATTTACATAAGTCTCAGATAAATTTTCCTCTATGGACAGCCATATACCCTTGATTAATTTTAAGCAAGCGACTTCTACATGTAGAAGGACTTTTCGTCGTAAGTTTATCTTCTGAAAGAATGTCCGAGCTTCTTTTAAACATGTTTGAGTCCCTTAACTATGTCAACGCCAATGGGAAATGCCGATAATCACATAGGATGATAACTTGATGCCCCTAGCTCATAAGTTGCGCATTTAAGGGGGACGACTACTTGTAAAACGCTAGAATCGACCTAAATTTGAGGCTCAGGAGAACATCTATCGACATGCTCCCTGTCGGCGCCACTTAGTTGAACAATTTAACTCTCTTATCAGTACAACTGGAACAAACTAGGAACAATTCTAGATAATGATAGCCGCAAGATAATTCGTCGCATCTTTATGCAAATACAAAATTTACAGAGTAGTCACTTCCTAAAACCGTACATTTGCTGCTACTACCACAGACTGCAACTGCAGTAACAACGACAACAATAAATACGATTTCTATAGCCAATACGATACTGCTTTATTGTATACGTCTACAGTCGTATGTACTATTTATCACGATTTTGTTTCCCTATTCAGTTCAATTATAATCTATAATGCAGTTCTCCCTCATTGACTCGAATGGAAAACGAAATTTACAGGAGGGCCTTAGTGGCAAGTGCGGGAGCTGCGTAGTGGAATCCGCCGTAACCGAGAGCAGGAGCGGCAACTGCTCCATAATGACCATGAGCGAAGTAAGCAGGGGCAGCTGCATAGGCAAGAGGAGCGGCGCGGGCATAACTCAGTGCGGGAGCAGCGACTTTTGCCACAGGGGCGGCGTACGTGAGAGCCGGGGCAGTCAGAGCTGGAGAAGCAAACGCAGGAGCAGCCAACGCAGGGGCTGCTAGGACTGGGGCAGCAACCTTAGCGATGGCCGGGGCCGCCAATACGGGAGCGGCAGCCACCTTTGTAATAGGAGCAGCGTATGCTACGGGGGCGGCAGCAGCCACTTTCGTAATAGGTGCCGCGTATGCTACGGGGGCGGCAGCCACCTTCGTGATAGGGGCAGCGTATGCTACGGGGGCGGCGTGCACAGTGTGGGTCGAGTAGGAGTGAGCAACAACAGGAGCGTGAGCGACCTTCGCCACAGGGGCAGCCAGAAGTGCGGGAGCGGCGATCGGAGCGGCAACGTGACTGATGCCAGCATGGGTGGCTCCAGCCAGAGCGGCGACGACGAGCTGTATAGAACAGATAAAAAAGAATGTAGTCGTATATTACTATAGTAGCACTGCAATCATCTGATTAACTGGAGAGAGTGCGCTGAAGCATGCATGGATATATACATGGAGTACACTTGCGTACCATTGCGTTCTCTGACTAACGACATGCGCATAGACGAAGACAGGCTGGGAATGTCTAGAATTGTGTAGAATAGGTGACAAGGACAGATTTCTAAATAAGCGAATTTCGGCTCGATTTCCATTATTACAATTGGCAAAAGGGGTGCATGCACACGTAACAGTGTTCCAGAGTGAGTATCCAGATCGAGCTAATAGAAGAGGACACTAGTTAATGTTAACTTACGAAGGCAAGCATGATTGCTGTTTTGGAGCTTGTCGAATTAGACAATGAGGGTTTCGTTAGTCGGACGACTTTTAAAGCCAATGGGGCGTCCGCTTGTACAGGCGCCCCTCGCCACGGCTGGTCCATTACCAATTTCTGGGGTTCGTAGGTGATCCGCTGGCGTGAGCTTTGCCGGCGAAGATGAAGCTCTGCGCGGGGCGGTAAAATACAGTATCTTCGTGCGGTGCCGAACCGTTGCGTCTCGCGCGAATGCGCCGCTAGACCGTGAATAGATTAGAAAGAGATGTACAGAAATACAAAACAGCATCGCTACACGAAATTGCATAGTCTTTTTAGCTAGTAACTAGGGTCTCGAAGCATGAAGATGCAATAATACCAACAGTGAAAGCTTAGCTGGAGAATCGTGATCTCTAAGAAACAAAAGACCAGTCACAGACTGGGCAATAATCACAATAAGAGCTCCTTTCATGTTTTGGAACGTTTAGATTACCCCATATTAGACTCATAAAAGTGGTGTCGTCGTTGTACGTGGTTGTAATTTGTGAGGCGTGAGAACGACTTTACATCTGAGTACTTCCGAAAATACACCCTCAGCTACTGCTGTAGCACTCGATGTGATATCTACCTCCTATTATAAGTGGCTTTAGCTAGTAAAGATAAAAACGAAAATAAGGGGACAGTCGTGACGGAACTGGCAACGTGTCTTGAACGCAGCGGATAAGTTGACATTGGGTCGAATAATGGGTAGACAGATTTTCTAGGGGTAACTTTCGATAGTCTGTAGTAGTCAATGTAAGTCTAATTTAACCGTATTTCCGGTACATTAGTACCTTATCTACTTGTCAGGATTTGTTCGCCCTTAGCTTGGACAACTTAAATCACGAATGAGGTCTGAGACCGACGGCACTTTCAATCGGATCGTGCGGCATCGAAGTCTGCCTGCGTTGTATTATTGTATTATTAAATGTAACGAATTAAAAGAACAGTTGCTCTAGACGAAATGAAAACCAGTGCTGAAAACACGAACAGGCCTATCGAACCTATCTAATCGAACATCTGAGCGCAGTAGCTAACATGCATTGGTTACAGTAGCTATTTCCTAGCAGGATTTGAAACTAGATTACCTATTATTTGACGAATCTATAAAGATACCTCAAAGTTATTTGCTGTTCTAAGGTAAGTATAAGTTCACCTTACATTCACTTCATCAAATATGTGAGGAATGCACCCAGCGGTTAAGGTCTCGAACTTAACTCGGTAAGGAGTCATATCTGGGCAACGAAATTTCAATAACATCGAAATTTTGCCTCCTAGCAGAAGTCGATAGTATACATTCGGGCAGAGTGGGCGTGATTAGATAGCGTGATGTGTTTCCTATGGTAGATTATCTATGCAAGCATCATTGTTAGCAGACAATGGACGTTATTTTAAAGTCGTTTGATTGTATGGCGCAATTTCTAATTCATCTCATGGCCCGTTTTCATGTCATGCGTGATCTGATTCATGAGAAAAATTACAAAAGTTATGTAACTAAAATGATGCGTAACACGAGTCAGGTTCACACCTGCGGTATATTAGGAGAAAACGGGAGATCAAACGAGACACGGCACGGCACGTTGTCTCGAGCGACGGTTGCCACCCATGTATTAAGTGTATTAAAAAAACAACCATGCTACATATAAACAAACGTTTTATATCACAGATACACATTAGCGTAAATAGTTCCCTCTTCGAGCTAGCGCCATAAGTCGATCCGATTTAACGTTTCCTTGCAAATTTAATAAAGCTCGGCACTGCAATTTCCTGGATTGCAGCATGTACCGAAATCAATGCTCTATTTTTGAACAATTAAGAAGTTTTTTTTTCAGTGAATTCAAGCTTAAGAGCGTAAATATACAGCGTTGCGAGCGTCGTCATCCGTTTGTCTGTCGATATTATTTGTTCTGAGAAAAATTCACTATTGAAATGCATTGTTGATTTTGGCACATACAAAAACATCTACTATCGACAGTGTAATGCCTGTGTCCCTTGGAAAGTGTGGATCCGCCATCTAGCTGTTTTGCTTTCGATGCGACTGAATTGCGTCAGGTTGACGCGCATCAGGTATAACATCATATTCGGTTGGCGAAGACGTTCTAATAAATAATATATTAAGCCGGCCATCTACCCAGAGACACCACGATTCACATTTCCTACGGCAGTGGAGAACGCGCCATTGCAAACGCTAAACAACTCTATTTAATTGCCATCTTAATGTGGACAGCCGACAAATACCGAGAGATTATCCGAACGAGGAAAGTTAAGTTAGTCCGGACAATGCTGGAACATAATAGACTGCCAAAAAGTCGACAAAAACAAATCGCTGCAGTATTAACACCAAACACTGGCGAAAAACAGGAAACAAACAACTACGGTCACACATCGCCTATGGCCTTAAGCGTCAATATTATCGTTTCTAGGAGCGGGTCGCACAAGCCCCGCAGCAATTACCGGCCGTTCGTTCAATCTATCTATCTATCTAACACGGCCTGTTTGTTTACACGGCTACTCCCTGTTGGCATCAACGACAGTGACGAACAATAAAAACGAGAAAAAAAAATCCTTGAGCTTTATTAATTAAAGGACCTTGAGATCGGATCGGAACGGCCGAATGATAGAACAAGTGTGGACGAACGCAAGAACCCAACATGGCATACTACTAACAGTCGATAAACTCGATTCGACAACTCGTTCAGCAACATTTCAAATACGTTTTACTGGACATGAAAGGGCGGCCTTTCTGGGCATCTACACAGAACATGCACGAACGAACAAAATGGGAACGGGAGTTATACAGGTATGTGTCTCAGACATAGGGACAGCTAGCTCTTGCACGGAGCGTGCTTCGTACAATCCATCTGCAGTCAGTTACATGTGTACACGTTTATGTGCGAGGCTGAGATGTGTTCTTTTGATGTGCTGGTTGAACGGCTCGTCCTGTACACAAACGTATTGTTGATATGTTTTATATTACTGATATATTTCGTACGTGTGTTCGTCAAGGGTGATTTCATGCCTACGTTCATATGAAGCTTTTCTTCAGTGGCATCTGCTATTTGTTGCACGGAACATGCGCGCGAAACATATAATGGCTATTTTACTTACACAGCAAAACAAGGAATCAGGCGTTTACGGTCGAAGGAAATAGACCTAGTAAAAGGAATTGATGGTAAATTTTAGTTAAGCACTTCCTATATCTTGACGTATCTCTATAACAGAAACTCGTATACGACCAAAAAGAAGATCTGTGCCTTTAGATAATCAAGCTATTGCTGAGCGAATCTTTATACGAATAAGAGAAAAATATAGATATAAGCTGTAAATAAATCCAAATTAAACACATGCATGTATCTATTTTATCACGCTACTTAAGTAAAATGCCTACCTGTACTTGATTCGTCTTTAGATTTGTTACTGCGCCTTGTGCATAGGAGCTTCCCAATAATACGTCGATGGAATTACCCGAAGTCTCGCCATAAGGCTGGTATCTCAATAGACTCGCAATGGCCAATATTCTGGAAAGGCTACACTTAGGATTAGATCAAAAATAACTTTCTATCGTTATTAGATAGGTTTTTTTTTCAGTTGCAGAGTGTTGTCTATATTCAACAAGCTTCATCTTTGTCAAGCGATGTACCTGTTAACACTTACTGTGATAGAAGTCATGTTAGACATTTATTAGTTTTAGTGTGACTACTCAATAGAAAGGAACACGTTAGCTATGATTAAATGAGGAACCTTTACTATATATAAAGAGAAACAGTTCTGTATAATTTCCAATTGGAACCCTTTCTTTTTGAAATCTAGGCCCTAAAGACCTATTTTGTTAGAGACGTTGTACGCTATCCGGTCTAATTATGCGCACACAGAAGTTAACTTGAGCGTGACTTTTATGTTGAAGCGAAGATTAAATCATAATCAATTCTATCATAGTTAGCTTTCAGCATCACTTTCTAAATTCTCCGAAGGACCACTAGGATATAGAAACTACCTAATTGATTGGCGATATAATACTTACACCTAGGCAACTCTTATGTTTGCTCGATAGGGCGATCAAATTAAGTGATAGCCATTTGACCCATTTCAATATCGTTTTTACTTACGAAAACTCAGGTATAAAGTTCTAAGGTGGATATATTTGTTTCACAGAATGGAATATTCCGTTTGAGGGTCGTGTTCACCCCTTCATTGTGCTTAGTCGAACTGGATGCAAGCGCTATGGTTTTTACGGTTAATGGTCCCGTAACAATGTCAAACGGCTGACGTTTGGCGCAGAACGAATTGTCCCCAGCTGAATTCGAGCCGAACATCACAGCCGGCTTCTAACTCGTAAATAGTTTATCGAACGTTCTCCATTTACTTAACTAAACTGTATGTTGGCCTTTCGAGTCTACGGCCAAAGCCGCTTCACACAGTAACTTTTACGGGTGTCCTAGTATCAACAAGGTACATTTTTCGATTTTTTAGATCAACTATAGGAAAACTGTGAGTTAAGTATGGAAAAGTCCGCAGAAAAATTTGTCCAGTAGATCGATTACGTCTTGCGAACGCTGGCTGAACAATCTGAACAACTATAGTCCCTGTATGATTTTTTTCGGTTTCCATTTGCTCCTTGAAGCATATCGATATAGCTTCTTATGAGATTTACAGTGGTCATAGGGAGAGAAAATGTTTCTTTTCTTTTTTTACTGATTGTGCAACGTCAGAACGATAATTGTATTCTAAAGGCTCAACTATGCCGCGCTCGAAGTCCTTACAGCTGATTTTATTTTCTAAGTTTGTGTAGTGCCAATGTAGTCCAGAACAGGATCCTCTTGCACCTTGTCCTGATCGACGCCATAATGGACCCCACTATAATGGTCCCCGATTACAAACATTCAAGCAACTATCCTGTGGCTATACAATTCCTTTTTTGTTTTTCGAAATCCCCTTCAGCCAGATTGTCTGTTTTTTGTTACACTTACTCTGAAGTTTTCATGAAGCTGGTACCAAACAAACTTCAGGAGCTGCAGTCAGACGAAGCAATTGAACTAGCTCTGCCGGCGCACTCTCTGTCGGTCGGCAGCTACTCATATTCGCCAGGTCGCCCCCCCGTTTACCTCATTTAAGGGCATAAGCGCTCAACATATACTTGCACCGGTCACTGGCTAGCAACAAATGCAACGTTCGGTTGTTGCCTGCTCTTTCCCTCTACGGTTATTGCTCGCGTTGAGCGTCCTATTTATGAAGCTGGTTTCGGCCATGATAGCATGTTGGAGTTTAGGAGAACGGCGTGTTACCATGGGAAATGCAGATGTTGCAGCCGGTGAATAATTGGGGCTGTAAAGATTAAACGATTATTCCCGCTTGGCAACCGTGAAATGGAATTACAGAAGCAGTAGATGGCGTGCCGCGTTGAAAGAGTGGCATATGGGCAGAGTTGTGCTCGCAGCGGAGTATTTCGGGGGTTCAGCCGTGCTGTGAGTACGCCTGACATATTTACTCGGAAACTGTTGACTATTTCGGAAGATCTACGACGAGCAAAAGTGGACAAGAAAAATGACGAGCGTGCGTAAAACGTCTGTGATGTGGACAACGTCTTAGCAAACATTAGCAAAATACAACATGACTGATATTAATTATACAAACATGCTTTCGCAATAGAAATAGAAGTTACATCACAATAAGTTTAGTTTTGTATCGATAGCTTTTTCGAGCACGTAATTTTGAAGGTTTGTAAACATCTAGCATTTATAACATATACTTATTTATGTGACCGGACAAGGGGCTGGGCCTGTATGAAAAGGATATGACGACACTTAGTGGTACGAATAACTTCTATGGCTCTATTGTCAAGGTAGACTAATATCGACAGCAGCAATTTTAATGAGAATTAAATATGAGTGTCGGTCAGGCATGAAGGTAGTGGGCCTTCTATCATAAGGCATCGCACTTTACTGCACCTTACTTATCATTGTTTTTTTGTGTCATAAGTCTGTTTTTCGAAGCTGTCCTCGGGGCCCTTTGAGCACTGATACTTCTTACGTCGGCCCTGTCGAATAATAGTCAGGCGAAGTGTACACTTCGTCGCCTATATGCACATAACTCGAATGTACTTCGTCTGCCGCAGAAGGCCACTTACACGTTCGTACAAGGCTTATATTTGATTTCTTCTAACTTCAATTGTTCTGCACGGACCACCATACGAACAGCCAGCCATCGGGTTTATTGGAGGTCGATGAACCTTTTTAGTACGTCTGGCAATGGAACATATACGACATGCCACAGATCATGATTGTTACAACATAATTAGTTTTTCGTTTTTCAAACAGGATTCATATCGTCTATACATACTTTTCTTGTATTGTGTAACTTGAATGTCGAATAACTTCAATATGGCAGACTCTACCTATCGGCAAAGACAGAAAACAGGCATTGTATAAACAACGTATCATACAACAAACAAAAATCACAAGTATCCGTGTCTAAAGTTAGATCAAAAACAAAAAAAAAAACACGAAGTCATAACTTTGGTGGTAGAAATTCGTCAGTGTTCATCAGCGCCAGTCATTCTGTTGAGTTCTATTATTTGTTCGTTTGTAATTTCTACTGTACGTTATTACAGGCGTGTATGGTCGAGTTACAGTCAAGAGCTTCAACGCGACGCTACCTATTCTATCGAAGAGAATGAGGCCTTTTTTGATTCTGGTCCTTCCTTTTGAAACGCCTAGGCTACATCGCCATAATTCTTGCGACAGTTTGTGCGTGTCATTGTGCCCAGTCATATGGCCCTCTGCTGTTCGTTGTCTCTAAACAGAAGTACATGTTTGAATGTAATCGTTATCTCTATAAATACTATGAAACGATATAGGGCTGTGCAAAAAGGTGCGATTTAGAGTCGATTTCTGTGTAAAATATAGTCAAATCATCGTCTAGCAATTCGCCTATAGAATGTTATTTTTTCTTCTTTTTTTTTTTTTTTTTTTTTTCTGTCGTTGATTATTCATCACGCTTTCCTCAAGTATTTTTTTCCGGTGTTACTTTTAGCAGACGATGCCTGTTTGTTCAACCCAGAATTACTGTAAATACAATTGTTCGCTTAAAGTTCGTTTAAATAACAACGATATTCATTACTGCGGATAATATTTCTCTGATAGGAGCACGCAGATAGCAGGCATCGACAAACTACAACGATGTTCTATTTTATTCGTGTTATCTATCCTAATATATACAAAATGAGCTTACGTCTTTGTTGCTATATCAGAATTCGTTCTCACGAAGTGATGCCATCAATTGCTTGTTTGCCTATAACAATTCTCTGGGCGGTCGGCATCGGCGTTGCGTCACTTTGACTTTATCCAGCACCGGGATAAACGGCCGCATTTACCCTTGAGATGTCCCCTAGATCTATTCTTTTTTTTTTTTTTTTTTTTTCTAAATTACCAAAGGCTTTTACCAAATAGTCCCGATTTAAACCGGCTAAGGCCATCTTCCGACTGAAACAGCTGCTAACCACGATATTCACAAAGTCCACAAGGGCCTTGCAAGTCACGACGAGTTTTACATTTACATATGGTTTGAACATATGCTAATTGGAAACGACCGTCTAACGATTGATAACCAAATTAGTTTAGCGCGAAGTTTATTTATAATTGTGTCGTATTCGAGAATTAGAACATTGTGCTAGCTATCAACAACTGAAACAATACATACAGGGGCTCAGCTTCTTTTTTTTTTCCGAGTATCGTTCAAGGATGCGTTAGAGTATGACGAAAGGTAAATGGATAGAATCATATTGTCAGCTGTAAACCAAAGTGTGCCAGATATCAATAGAGAAAGCCATGGGAAGCTACTGAATTCTCTCTCTACTCCCATATGTAAAATACAGACGCTATCAAGCTAACCGTAATCTCCCAAGAAACGCATTACGCACCCTTCCCTAGTAAGTAATCTTACATTTTTCATTTGCTAGTACTTGGCAACGCCAATTACTCCGACAGCGTCATCGTTAAGAGTTACCACCATCAGTGCTGTACCGCTTAGATCAATGCTGGTCTCATTCTTTATAGCATAATATACAAGTTGGTGGCAGATTACATAGATAAAGTGTTCTACATCTTCGTTTGGAATAGCTAAAAGTTTACAACAAGGTCTTGACCGCATCAACGGGGGCTCCATAGTGGAATCCTCCGTAAGTCAAAGCTGGAGCGGCAACAGCTTTATAGTGGTTAGGAGCGAAATAGGTTGGCGTAACAGCAGCAGCATAGGCAAGGGGAGCCGCCGGGGCAGCAGCAGCAACCTTTGCCACGGGGGTGGCATACGATAAGGCTGGGGCAGCAGCGACCTTTGCCACGGAGGTGGCATAGGATAAGGCTGGGGCAGCAGGGACCTTTGCCAAGGGGGTGGCATACGATAAGGCTGGGCCGACAGGGACCTTTGCCACTGGGGTGGCATACGATAAGGCTGGGGCAGCAGCGATCTTTGTTACGGGGGCGGCGTACGATAAGGCTGGAGCGTATGAGAATGTCGGAGCAGCAACGGCAGGAGCAGCCAGGACAGGAGCTGAAGCAGCCAGGACAGGGGCTGGGGCAGCCAGGACGGGAGCTGGGGCAGCAAGGACGGAAGTTGGGGCAGCCAGGATAGGAGCTGGAGCAGCTAGGACAGGGGCGGCAGCTACTTTTGCTACTGAGGTGGCAGCCACCTTTGCCACGGGGGCGGCGTGGTGCACGGTTTGGGTCGTGTAGGAGTGAGAAATGACGGGCGCGTGAGCAACCTTTGCCACAGGGGCAACGAGAAGGGCGGGGGCAGCCGCGTGACGGACGCCAGCCTGCACGGTAATAGCAAAGGCGACAACCGCGACGAACTGTGAAAAAGATGAACACAACAAATTGAACAGAGAACACTGAGAACGGCTGTGATTTAGGGCCGTATTCTCCGTAATCTCATGATATTTGTGAGGTATAATAAAGAAAGTAACGAGTACAATAAATCAGTTTGTTTCCGTGCTTTCATAAGACGCACATATCCATGGGGTCAAAAGAGGTTCGCGACATATTCTATAGCTAATAAAAATACCGATTCGTAGCAGCACTTACGAAGGCGCGCATGATTATTGTTCCTTATTTACTTCGACCAACGAAGACGATGCTCAAAGAGCCATTACACTTGCTTTTTATACAGCGCGACACGTTCTATCGTGCGACAAAATGAGTAGCGTTCAGGTCTAGGCAAAAGAACCAGAAGGGGGGCTCGATTTGTTCGTTAAGCTGTACATAGAGAAAGATTTGACTTTTTCCCTTACTTCTGCTCCATCCGCTAAGAAGCCAGAATCAAGGTCGTGAAAACTAACAGATGTTCTTAGTATTGTCAAATATGGAACACACAGACGACCACAAAAGCATACACTGAGACGTAAGCACAAACAAACAGCTAAGGCACAACAGTCTTGGGGGAACACGTGTCGTGGACCAACGATGACGAAAGCTTGATGTCACTATGGATTATTCGATGGTCACTGTGGTCGGCTGGCGATCGGATAGTAAACCACGGGGATAGAAAGCAGAGATCACACCGAAAGCTTAGCAACAAAGTCATTTAGTCATAACAATCGCAGTCAAGAAGTGTACGCGGCTCTTCGGTGCTTCAAACCATCGCCCACGACGCCAAGACGTTACTGAAACAACAACGCAGCGACCAACAGGCAAATACAATAGAAAAAAAGTAAACACGAAATTTGTTATTCGAACGTTGGTGCTTATACCGCAGACAAAGCTGCAACCTCCGGTGGCTTCTCGTTGATGTAAAAAGGACTCCGCTAATCTATTCTGCATAAAGTCGAATCCCTCGTTAATATTTCGTTGCGCATATATATTAATATTCTTATCGAAAAAACAACACAGAATTCTCTTACTTCATATTGTAGGAACAATATATTTAATTAGAAACGATGTCCCTTTCTTATTATAGTATACACAGGTATATTTCTCTACTAGACAGACAGACTGGTTGGCTGACAGCACACATTACTTTATATGGGAAGCAAGACATAAGTATAATTCCTCCCATAATTATAGTGGTGATATAATAATTATTCTATGTTTTCGCTTAGCTTATTTTCTGTCATAAATTTCGAAGTTTCTTTGGTTTTTTGCTTTAAAAAGGGCTACGTTGTCAAACGACACGTGTATTATCAGGGTCACATCGTGATCATACAAACATTAATGTGAATACTGTTTAATATTTGCCTAAAAAGGCTTACTAAATTTAGACTGTTCGAACGACAATATCCTTACAGGCTGGAATCTCTTTTTTCCTGTGGTATATGGTATATGAAATTTTAACGATAACACAAACCGCCGTTGTGTGAGATAAGAGCTAAGTGGGGGGCCTGTTCTCAGGCTGGCTTCAAGTTGGACGTAAAGCACTGTGAGTACGGTTTCATCTGTACAGGCTTTCAAAGTATCAATATAAGAACGGAATTTCATAGAGACGTTTATTCCTTTCGATAAAATTTCCCTTATGGCCTTACAGGGGGGCCGTCAGTTTGGCTACAGGGGCAGTAAACTCTATTACGATCAACCCATACGATATGCATAAAATAAGAAGAGGAGTAAATCAAGTCACATAGTGCTTTACCAAAAAGGCTATATTCACTACGGTAGCAATCCGAAAAGAGGGACTAGCTTCGACACGTGACAGCGAACTGTGAGATAAAAGAACTACGACTCGAAGATAGCATACAGGCCATGGGGTAAGATGTGATCGAAATATAACTGTGATTTATTTTCTTACCATTATTAACATATATCATACGAAAAGGCAAACAAGTGACAGTGCATAATAGATCAAAAAAGCCTCGGTTAATCAATCAATCAATCGACCGATTCCTTCTTCATGCCAGACCGTCAAAGAAGGAACTGACCTTTCTGAGGGCACTTGATATTAACAGGGTGGAATATAATCGGAGTCCTTCGTGCAGCAATATGGTTTGTAAATCCCTGGAACGGGGACAGCCCGAGATGTTCATTGTAGGAACGAGTTGCCTTTAGCAACCTTAAGACGGTTCTACAGAATGCCACCCCGCTTAAGTTTTTTTTTATTGAAACGCAACTCACTTGATATCAAGCATCCAGCCGGGGGCAAAGCTGATTACGTCTAAACTTTAAAAACGTTTGATTTCTCCCTATATACTGCAACACAAACGTATAAATAAAAAACTAAATGCGGCAGCCTCGTGGGGATGTCGTGTTATATTGTGAATAAATCATAACGAAACTGATACCGACTGATTTTACGACTGAAGACTTGACTATAAACCATTTTTAAGCCACATAAACACAAAATCGCATCGAAAAGTCGGTAGTAAAAGTGCTAGCATGTGTAACACCGGTGTAAGCATATGTAGGGAAAAAAAATCCAGCAATAGGAGATGCTGGTTTTCGTAGGCAGCTCATCAGTATTTTGGAACGTCGGCCACTACGGCAATGAAGCAACAGACTGCAGCCAAGTTTAAGATCCTTGCAAGTTGTTCATAGATCACCTCGAGCAATTGTGTCGTCTACAGAACAATAGATGATGACGTATAGCGTAACCTTAAAAAAAAGCAATTCCTTTAGCTTCCAGAGGCTTACAGTAATGCGCAACCGTACCGCAAATTGTCGCGGTCTGAACTGAGGGTCCTTTTCCCATTCTGGCAATAAGAAAAGGACCTTCAGTTTATCCGCAACTCGGGCTTGTTTCTTAACCGTCATAAGAATGTCCTTCGTAACCATTTAGAACAAATCACCAATACAATGTGATTATGTAAACCATAAGATGCCACTTAATGTAAAGTTATAGTTAGGTGAAGCCCAGTCCATTAGGCCAACCGACAATTTTCTTGTTTCTCTTAAAGATGCTTCACGCGACCCTATTCTATATTCTGATTTCTACGACCGCAAAAATGCTGCCCTGAATTTCTGTCTTCAGGGCCTTGGCATTATTAGAACTTATACACTGCTGTGCCTAGTATGAGTTTTATCTCTATGACATGACATCTATGACACATGTCGGGCGAGAATGGCGGCTCTATTTATGACTACGGTAAGCTTCAACTTGTGGGCTTTGCCGCCTTGATGTAGTACAATCCTGGCAACGGTACAATGCTCGCTCTGCCCACTCATGCCCACCGTGGATGGCCGTAGTGATTCAGTGGTGACTACAAGCTCCGAATGATAAAAGCGCTAAGGACATCACATGATAGAATAGGAAAACTGACCATCTGCTATGTTGAGGTTTATGTCAAACCTCTTATATTTGGGCTTCGTTGTATCAAAACTGACCAATCCTTATTCAATGTGATCTTTCCACATGACATAGGACCTTTAATACGATTTTCCTTTAGTGTATTTTTTTTTACTCTTTCATATCTATCTATGTTTCACTTATCTGACTGAGGTGAAAGTGAAGTTTTAAGAGAACTCTGCAGTCGCAACATATAATTTAACATATAATACATTCTGATAGTATTTTCGTAGCACCTCAAAGCTGAGTAAATATATATATTTATCTAGAGTTGTTAACAGCGAGCACATAATTTTTGTTGTTCTCATGGGAGCTATTGTATCTAATAAGAATATAAACAAACTACATAATAAAGATAGTCATGTATGTAATGTAAATACTTTTAAACATGTTTTCCTACAATTATAATGACGATATATTAACTGCATGGAATTTTACCTACGTTCGTTTCCCTGTCTTGAATTTGAGTGTCCTTATTTTCGTTTTATTAAATAGAATATGCCGTTGAAATATGCCCGCGTAGTCATTATCATATTGTGGTCGTTCAAAAAAATTAATAAATGAAAATGTCTGGCACGGTCAAACTTCCTCTAGTCTAAAATTAAGTTTTTTTCTCTAGACGAGGTGATTGGTTAGCCACATTCTAATCATATCTCTAATTGCAGGGATTAGATGTAAGCTGAGCGGTGTATCTATTTTGGAAGACACGAAAGCGCATACAACAACAATTATAATTGCATAAAACAATGTACAGTGGCATGATATAACGCTCGGGATCACAAATCTAGAAACACTGCGAAAAATATAGCAGGCCTATTAAAATATCTCCTGTTGCAGTTTTGCTATGCCACTTTTCTGGTGAGAGCTTCCTCACCTCAGGGAGCACCTCAGAACATAATCTTCAACACAGAACCTTTCACGTCCTGGAAGTACACACGTAGCGCTCCTTGGGCTCATGAAAACCCAATGAGTTACGTAACATGTGATGCGTCTCGCTAAATTAAAATAAAAAAATCTCGTCTAAATTGCATGACCATGCGGCGGTTAGTACGGTGCAGATCCTCCATCTTATTGAAGAGCTTGCCGTCGATAGCCATGATCTTTTACTCCTACTTACCAATGATTACCCCTGTTGCATACCGAAAGGCAATCTAAGACCGCTTCATAGAAGCGATGCGGTCAGACTCTACTCATCAAGGAATTTTTATGCGTTTTGAACGGTCCGCGTTCGGTTCGACATTGCGAAGGGTTTGCATAGCTCTGCGATGCCATTCTCCCAATGACTTAGAGCTGTTTAAAGCAGTGCCTAAATGCACTATCCGACCTAGAGCCTGATACGTTTATTTGTAGCTAAGAGCTGATGGACGAATCCTTACAAACATGACCTTCATCGGACAGCCACAGACTTGAAGGTATTAGCTTACACCGAGAATTACCGGTAAGCTCTTCGTGTTTCGAGTTTTATGTCCGGTATTGCCGTTAGGCCTTGCATCGAACGGCTGGCTAGTAGTACGAAATAAAGTCTGTGCTCAGGTTTGAACCTAGAACGCAACCTGTCTTTAAAATTAGCGGATACGTTGCCCACTAAGCTACTACGGAAGTTATTTTCCGCAACGACTTCGTCAAGGTGTGCAAACTTATTGTCAAATATTTTCATTTAGAGACATCATTGAAAGCCTACGGCGGGGTTGATAATTACTTGCGATGGCTGTAATCTCAGGCAAGCTTCAACGAACTTGCTAAAAATGATGACTGCATAACGCTCAGGAACTTACGCTTTCTAATCCACCGCTGTTCCGTGTGACTTATAACAGCTATCAGGGTCAATAACATCAATTCG